TTATTTTATAAAAGCTTACATAATAATACAATTATTATACAAACTTAAGAAAATACGCAGCACTAGCATCATGGGCTATCGGCCGATGTTCCCATTTATAATTAATATCTACTATTGCAAACTCATGAACGACAAGTTATACATACTTACATAGTATGTAAACCTTCTTTCGTAAATAGACTCAAATCCGAACCTCATCTAAGATGTGTGTCTGTGCTTAAATCTCAAAGATTTGATATATTTGTTTACTCATTAATACCAATTACAAAGAAAATTTAAATGTCTCGCATACGTACTCTTATTGCTGACTGGATGTGCATACATTCTTTTATGTACATATGTATCTACATTCATATGAATGTACATAAGTATATCATATGTATGTCAAATGCACTCATATTATTCTTTTGATGGAAATACAGTATAATAAAAATTAATCAAGGAATTTGTAGATACCAAATACACTGGGATATTTAACAAATTTAATGTTGTTATTAATCAGGTTAAGTGGTGTTTTAATGACTTCGTGCGCGTATTAAAATTTCCGTTCAATTCTAGATGTCATAGTTAGAGTGACTTGTTTACTTAGTTTCGCTAAGAAGTGTATTCGTTTGGCAATCGCGAATAATAGAACCAATTTTGATACTTGAAAATAATTATATTTGTTAACTTAGGTAAAGAAAGACGAAATATTGCCCTATTTTATGTATGTATAGACATACATTTATATAATATATATTGCAGAACCGATAGAAAGCAAGAAATTCGATAGAAAATATGGTTGCTTCTTTGGTAATGTATTTAGCAGCACTCATTCCGCTGCAAAATAACAGCCACATTATTAATGAGCCATATTACCAATTACCCCGTTTTTGGACAAACACAGGCTTTTGTCCATCTGGAGAAATCAAACGGGAGAGTTTGAAATCTAGTCTATTCTCTGAATCGGTGCAAATGAATTTGATGCACCTCGCAGCGCTACCAACTGGCGCAATAACACATATACGCATCCATTGGCTTTTGGAACTTGTTAAATTTGTACAATATACTCAGGCTGGAGTGCCTGTTTATGACTTCTCCGATCTAGATGAATTCATATTAAACTTAAATGATTTAGGACTTTATCCAGTTATTGAATTTATGACTGATCTGGATGGTATTTTAGTAAGCAATTCCGATATTATGAATGATATTTGGGAAGATTTCAGCTATCAAGTCACTAAGCGATATCTAAGTATATACATACATACATATATATGTTTTAAATAATACAAAAATGAGTTAACTTTGCAGATTTACTGGGTGCTAAGAATCTTGTTAAGTGGCGGTTTGAGACCTGGAATGAACCGGACATACACAATTATAATATATTAAATTTTACAGTAGAAGGTTGTTCCACTCAAAAATATTGTTTTAATATACTAAAAATAATTTTTTTAAAATATTCTCATAAGTAGGTTTTATCGAATACGCTATGGCTTTACGGAAAGGTATTAAATCAGCTGGTCGTATGTCTATTAAGCCATTAGATTTAACTCTGCGGGGACCAGCAGGTTTATTTAAATCCAAAAAAAATCATCCGTTGTGCTGGTCGTTAATTAAAAACTGCAACGACCAAATAAATGATTGTCCAATAAATGTTCTTACATATCATCGAAAAGGTCAAGGCCTTGCAACAGAGGTCTTAGAAGCATCTAGCAAATTATTAAAGAATATTTATGCAAACTATGATAATATTAATATGTTACCAGTATCAAATGAGTAAGTTTCTGAAAAGACAGATATTGTACATACACATCTTTATATGTAGATACATACATACATAGCGGTCAAAGGTATTTTATTAACATAGAAACCATGAAAAGTTACCTTTGTGTATTTTTAAGAATGACACATTTTTTATTAATTGAGGGACAAAATTTGAATAATGCAATCAGTTTGATAATGCTAATATTCATATGAAATGTATGTATGTATATACACACAAGTATCTATGCGCTTATTAAATCGGTTCAATTAGAAAATAATAAATAAATATATATTCTATATTTAAAGTGAAGCGGATCCCATTACTGGTTGGTCCACCCCCCAGGATTTTTATGAGGATGTTCGTTATGCGGCTAAACTCGTGTACATTGTGTTTTTGCACTGGCATGCTAAATTAAATTATAGAGAATTCAAATATCTTGAAACAATCAGCCACGACAATGCTTTTATCAGTTATCATCCATTTGAATTCGGGCAACGAACTCTGTTAGCACATTTTCGAATGAACAACTCACAACCAGTGCATTCCCAATTTATACAAAAACCCGTATTTGCAGCTTTGGGTATGCTTTCGAAACTAGCACCAGTTGCTGCCGATATTGAAGTAATTACATTGAGTAGTCCAAACGATGTATTATGGCTTTTAAAAACACGTTCCACCGGCAATAAACCCTTGTACGTAAGTTGGCTGCTTCTACCTCGAGAGAATACAGAAAAACTGAACAATTTCACACTTCATCGTCAATTACCTTTCAAGTTATGCTCTGTAGAGACTTTCGCGTATGTGGTAGAATTACTAGAACAAGAAAAAACAGATCCAGCATATATTTGGCGAACTCAAGCTGGATCAAGACCCTTTCCGGACGCAATAGAGCGTGCAGCGATGCGGCACGCTCAAACTCCTCGATTACAAGCTTCTGGTTTGTTACTGATGCCTGAATTTAGTTTAAATATTAGTGGCCTACAGCTTCCATGGATATTATTACTTCGCGTTTGTTCTAATTTGTCGCCCGTGCTGAAGCAACCCCAACCACCAACAATTACAAAAATAACAATTGGCGAAATATTTATTTCTTGGCGTGAAGCTGCTAACACCACTAATTGCCTCAAAACCTATGAAGTTTGGTTTCAAGTAAATCAGACTGCAGAATGGAGTTTTATAAGTGAAAACTGGCATTTGCCTTATCCATCATTTCAATATGCTCCTATTAACGCCTGTGTTAACGGTAAACATGAAAAAGTCAATGATTATGCCCGTGAACTTATATATATATCATCCTCTATTTTTATTCTAGGATTCTTTAAAATCCGCGCCATTGACTTCTTTAATAGAAAAAGCAATTTTTCCGATACAATCGAATATATTGAAATGAGTGTTTAGTTGTAAATATTACATTTAGTAAAAACAAATTGTAAGAATTGTAAAAGAAAATGAAAAAAAGCAAATTGAAAATATAATGTAACTTAATTTTATTTAAATATTACTTCTATGTACTTTATCGACGGTGAACAATGTCAATGTACGTAAGTACACATTTTTAGTGTAGATAGGTAGTTTAACTTTTTGCAAACATATTTTAATATATTTTTGTAGCATTTTCATTAAAGCGAACTTGGAGTACAGAAGTATTCGGTTTAAATTTCAATAGTAACAAATAAAATACTTCCACATATTCTTTCAAGATATCTGCTTATGACATAAACTATTTTCAAATTAAAGATGCGTATGCTTTTTTATACACCATGTGGATCTCAATATGGATATACTTCATCTTACACATGCACATTTTATATATATAAGAAACAAAGCCATAAAAGGTATACCATTTAATATTCAATAATAAAAGACAAGTGAAAATAAATAACATATTTATTAATGTTTATTCTATAATATACAAAGGGCCGACCAACTAAGAATCCACTACCAACCATTTCTCTTCAATATGCTCCACTTGTTTTGTGAGAATAGGGTTTCGAACGCGTAATTTAATTTCCAATTTACCACCAACTGCTTTTCGGCCATCCATTAACTGTTACAATAAAAAAAAAAAAAGAAGTTATTTCTTGCATCTTTGTATACGTATTTAGACACACACATACATATGTACATATTTGATAATAACTTCAATTAATTTACAATTTCATTTCAATTTGTATAGTATATGTACGTATGTTTTTAATAATTTCGCATAACGACGTGTAATATAAGTATTTTGTTTTCGTGACTTACATTGAAAGTATCGTGTATATCACATTTCGTTTCAAGGGGCTGTAATTTCACATTAACCGTTCCTATGAGTATATCTGAGCGCAGAAAGCCTCTGAAACAACACATAGGCAGTATACGACTTAGTCCACGACAATCTATGCTGTATATTTATTTATATGTGAAGCATTATTCATAATGAAAATATTTTCCATTTTTTTATAATGTTATTAGTTAGTTTAACTCGCATTCAAGGTATTATTTTACTATACCTAAACACCTTTAACTTACCCGCGAGAGTATACTTCAAATTTTACATGATGTCTCTTAAATATACGTTGGAACTGTCGGTTTCCGCGATTGATTTCAATCTGGAAATGTTGATCATAGTCTGGACTGTCATTATTCTTAATTACTGAGGTTTTGGCTTTAAATGTCTCATCCTGGAAAGATTGAATATGTTAAAGATATCAAAAAAGAGGAAATTTTACTTACTTACATTCACCAAAGGAAATTCAATTTTGACATAAGTATCTACATCCTTTGGGTTAGGTACATTGTAGTTGAGACCACGCACAACAATGATTTCCAATTCGTTATCGGAAAGGTCTGTGTTGCAGTGCACAATATTAAAACTTCGCTTCTCATAGTGAAATTTGGGTAAACTGAGGTTTTTATGCTTCGAATAACGCACTAAGTCCAAATCCTTCTGCACGGTCAGTGCCAAGTTTTCAAAACGATTCATGCCGGCTACATCTCCCATGGCTTTATGATGATCCCTATTGAACATTTAAAAAAGTCAAATATTTTTCATACAGTTTCCAAAAGTTACTGCATTTTTTACCTAGTATTTTTGCACATCATTAATTGTTTCGCTAATTGCTCCTCAATTCGTATACCAATATCAGATAATTCATTTTCTGGGTCACATTCTTCTGTACTAACAATAGCAAATGATGCTTCGAGATTGTCACGTTGAGATGGTGGTAGTGGCAACTAAAAAAAAATATTTGCATACTTTACTTTGCATGTATAGATATTACCTTAGCATACCGAAGTAAGATCTACTGGCAAACCGCTACTAGCCGCATTTAACAAAGCATCAAATCCTTTGTATATCTTAAGGTATTCCTTAGCCTGGTCAATTTCTCCGGCTTTCTTTGCCTCTATTGCTGCAATTTTGAATTCAGTTTGTCGTTCAAGAAGAACTTTCATCTGCTGCTCAGCTAAATTATTTTTTTGCTGATTCCCTGATGTTCGGGTAGTGAGATCATGCTTTTGCGGCGATGTTTGGACAGTAAGTGATGTTGGTGTTTTCTCTGAAGACCTTGTATTTGAATTGCTTTCACCGTTTGGTGCTTCCGAATGTTTAGGTACTACAGTATCTACCGGATCATCGGAATTAATTTCGGAAGCATGTTCAGAAGGCAACGGACTAAATCCTGGTGGAACGGGCAATTCTTCATATGCTACCGGTTTGCCAGCTTTGTATAATTTAATCGCGTCTTCATATTGTTTCACAATGCGTCCAAATCTTCGAGCTTTGCTAGAATTCCCTTCTGCATTTGCCAATTCTTGTACCGATTTATACTTGTCTAACCGTTGTTGAAGAGCTTCTTCCATAGTAAGCGATACGCTACTGATATCTTTGATACCATTATTGTCAGGGTATTCACATGGTTCACCTATCATAGGAAGGTCCTTATTGTCTTCTTTAGTATTTTTTTGCAATTTGGATAAGAAGTCTAAAAACTGATCTGGTGCCGGAGGCATATCAGTCAAATCTACCTCCTGACCGTCTTCTGCCATTTTTATGACCATATCAAACTTTTTAACGACTTTGAGATACTGAATTGCCAGGCTCGTGTCCCCATTCCGTTTTGCTTGGAGAGCCGCAGTTTTATATTGGTGTTGCCGCTCTCTCATTTTATTCAAGGTTGTGGTTATATCTGATTTTTTATTTAATGGCATTTCTGGAGGAGAAATTGAATCTTTTCCTATATCAGATTTAATAAATGGCGGAGGTGGGGCAGATCGTGTAGGCTCCCTGTTTGTCGAGTCGTCACCCTTTTGGGTCAGCGGCTTAACATTGACCTCTGGTGGAATATCCTCTAATTTAACTTCTTTACCCTTATTGACTGCTTGTTGTAGCTCCAATAAAGTTTTAAGTGCTCTACCAAATCTTCGCACCTTTGCACTTTCTCCTGCCTCTTTAGCACTCGTTTCAGCCAATTTATACATAAGTATTCGCTGCTGAATAAGCTGAAATATATCTGAGCTGGTTGTAGGCAAGGAAGTATCTTGTTCTCCAATGGGAGCACTAACTGTAGTATCTGGGAGTTGATTTTCTGTAACTAAATCAACACTTTTCCCCAATTCTGAAATGTTATTCAATTCACTTAGAAGTTCGGTGTCGTTTTCCAAATCTGCGTCATTTTCATCCTCGCTGTCAATGTCTCTCATACTTTCAGCGACCATTTTATCAAGATCATGTGTCTGTCTTTGTTTAATTTTGGGTTTGTGAAGTTTAATCGTTCCATTTGTAATTTCAGCTAATTCATTTTCCAAATCACTATCATTATCGTCAATTTCCACATAACCGCCCGCTGGATCGAAGTCATCGGGAATTTCCGTTAGGCCAAACTAAGAGGGTAGGAACATAAGAATCGCTTTGATGACTCACTCAATTTGTAAAATGAATATAATTATATTACAAAAATATTTATTTTACCTGTGATAAATCTTGAGTTCTTCTTTTATTCGTCTCCGATTTTTTGCGTAAAAACATATTTGGGTATTGCTAAACTTTCAATTACTTACTCGTTAATAATCAATAAGAAACTTAGTTTTCTACAGATGCCGTCACTATTTTCTTCAGTCTACTTATTATTATTTGTTTTGAAGAACTTCACACAGAGAACGTACGTTCTCTGCCTTTTGAAGACTCAGCTGATGTCGTACCGTTTTTTGTTTTTTTTTTTGGTATTATCTTTTCGCAAAGTAATAGAGCAGAAAACGTTGAACATATTTGAATATTCTTATTAACACACTGCTTTCATCTGCTAGAAATTATATCTCTTGTTCGTTTCGTCAAACAATAGTCAAGCAATATAAAAATATAGTAAGAAATAATAAATACATTTTCAAAATACATAATTTAACTTTTTTTTCAAAAAGTAATATTTAGTTAATATTGTTAATTTGCAGAAGAATTATAACATAATTTTGGTGAAGCTTAAATTTAATAAAATGAAAATATCATTGCTCATATTTAATAATAATAATAATTCATAATTTATGAATTTAATTGCTACATATAGATTATTTAAGTTCTAAAATATGAGATATTTTATTTTTAAGAAATACATTTGTAGAAAAATGTATGTTTCTACTTTCTTTATTTTCCACATAAATTTGTTTATCCTTATCAAAATTTAAACGGTTCAAGAGCTCAAAACATTAGCTTGAACCTGCCTACCTGACGCTTTTTCGAAAATGACTAAGTTATGATAACAAATGCCCACATTCAGATTTGGAAACGGCAATGGTAACAGATTCGACAGTTAGTATGCCATAAAATTTTGCCTGTCGAAATGCAGAGTTAGCGAGCACTTTTCTGTCAATTTCCAACACTGTGATTGGTTTATCAGCTGCTTATTTTACATCTTTATGCAATACTATTTATTGTAGAAATTGTACACAAATTATTTTTTAGGGGTGGTGATATATCACATTAAAATCAGATTAAAATGGCTCCAAAAACACCATCCCGCGATCTTATTAAAATAATAATTAATAATTTCGTTAATTCCTTACGGCCTCGACAACTAAGAGGAAATTTTATAGGGGAAGATTATTTCGGGAATAAATATTATGAAATTCCTGCAAATCCATCAATAGGAAAGAGGAAGCCTTCTCGATATTTTGTACCGACAGACAAAGAAGCGTTCGATCAAGAGCTTACAGCTGAGTGGGAAGCATGGCTACGTGGTCGGCGTAATGAACCGCCTACTCGTGAAGAGTTAGTTAGGAATTTATCCATAATGGAAATGAAGCAACGAAATGCTGCAGAACTTGAAGCAACGTATGGAGCAAAAGATGATAGAGGACAATTGTTGCCTAAGGAAAAGGAAACGATTGGCACATTCCCAAAGTATAACGAGTATGAAATTATTCCGGGAAAAGACCCAGGAAAAAAATAATCTACAAAATTTGTTACGAAATTGAATATAATTCATATGTAAATTTATTTGAAACTTAAAACCTGCATTTTTACTTTTCACCAATCTTCGATGTCAAGCTCTTTTACTATGTCAACCATGTCTTCATGTTCCGATTCTTCTAGTGGTATAACAGTTTCCGGTTCCAGCTTTTGATTTTCAATTCCATTTTCCAATTTACTTTTCCGATTACCGTTCTTCTTGATACCTTTAGCGTCTTTATTTATTCCGATCAATAACGGTTCGTCTTCTTCGGATTCTGATGGGAATAATTCGAGTTCACCATTTTCATTCCTAATGTTTACACCATCCTTGTTTAAACGCTTTATGGTTGGAATATTATAATTGATATTGATGCTGTCAATTTGAGCTGCTTGACGTCTTTTCTTTATTTCATGTGTCTTCAGCCAACTTTCATAGTAAGTAGCTAATGGTGTTCCCTTGTTATACACCTTCGACTCCCAAGATTGCACTTGAGCTATCTCATTAAGAGAAAAGGTGATTTTTCGTCGTTCTTCATCTATGTATCGAGCGTTTTCCTGTATTTTATCCAACAGTTGTTTTATTTTTCTTGAATAATTCGCATTGCGACAAACTTTTAGGTAGCTTTTCAGTGATAACACTGTAGGCACTACTAAATCACTGAATGCTAGAGATGCTGATTCATGCGCCAAGTATTCTAAAGTAAGACTATTCACTTGCTCGATTACCTCATCACGAAAACCATTTTCAGATAATTGACCTTTGTTGAGTCTCAAAATACAGGTAAACTGTAATGGACGCATTGATGCAACCGTATGCTTACGGTTAAAAGTATTACTCCGCAAAACTTCAATTATTAATGGCAGGATGGGGATGAATATCCGTGTTTCTCTGGCCAAAGCTATTAGTACCTTTACGCAATGGAAACGTAAGGGGAAGTATTGCGCAGTCGGTATAAGACGAATCACTCCCAATGTTATAGTAACTAGCGGATAAATAAGAGGTTGCAATTGAGGTTTATTCGTTGTGGCGTCCAATAGATCAGCCCACAAACGCAGAGAATTAACAAACTGCCAATTATAAACAGCTTGAAAGCTATCCTTCTTTTTCAATATGACTGCATTGCGCAAATGAATCGCCAATTGTCGGATGTAAAGAAAAGCATGTTGGTAGGACGTGTTTAAATCCAAAGCAAATATTTCTACCAGTGACCTTCGCATAAAATTTATGCTGGGTAGCGTATTTGGGGACACAAATTTTGAATTACGTACATATGAAAGATACATAGCTTTTAAGACATGGTGCAACATTGAATCCTAAAATGAAAGACAATTAGAAATACAAAATATTAACAAAAAAAAAAAAAAGATATTTGAACCCATACTAACCTGTTGATTACGAGTTATCTTCAATATACAAAGGAACGCCAGCACTCGAATTGTTTCATCCCCAGTTGACCATAATACAATTAATCGTTTAAGAATAATTTTTCCAAGAGTTGTGTATGAAGCAATCATACCAGCCATTTGATGTAAATGTTTCAATAAAACTGAGAGTATGTTTGCACTAGATACTTGTTCTACCAATCGTATTAAATCAGTTAAATAATATCGCAAACAACCTCGAACCTTAGGCCATTTTTTGGTTTTATGTAGCGGAGCTGTTGAACGAACATTCAAACCTAATATACGAAGAATTGCGGGTTGGATGTGCAACACGCAAAGCTGCACAACACCGTTGAAAATTGCTGAACCAACCACTTTATATTGAGTTGGTATTGTATTTTTTTCATCCGCAGAAATACTTGCCAAAGCGGAACTGAACGCCTGAATAACTTTGCGAACAATGTCAACAGATACATTTTCCTTTTCAAGTTCTATTTGCCACTGACGCAATAAATTTAATGTTACTTTCTCTGTGCTACCAGGAACAGAATCCTCATAATCGTTCTCATAGTCACTTTCGTCACTTGCTATTTCCAATTCTTTATTAGGTGTATGGTATTTCCCTTCATCATTTTCACTCTCATCTGTTTCTTCCTCACCTGTTGGATTAGTTTTGCTTTTGAGCGGAGCTTTGTTACTTTCACTATCATCCTCAGATTCGTCACTGTCAAACAAATTGAAATCCAACAACTTTTTATCATTTTGCTTCAAAAAGTCATAGAACTCAGGATCGATATCTTTTAAATTTTCGAGTTCGTTTTTGTGAGATTTAGAAGATTTATTCACATTTTTTGGCGCTTTCATTACTTTATAGGACGACTGTTTCTTTTTCTTCGATACTTTTTTACCAGTTGTGTCCACATTTTTTAAAGCCAATTTTGTTTTTTCAACTCTGCCTTTTAATCCTTTTACAATCTTTAGTAACTTTACTGGCTTGGATTTTTCAATAGATGATAAAGGTTTAGAACTAATTAAGGTACTATCTTTTTTAACAGGTTTCATTTTTAATTATGAAATTTAATTCAGCATCGGAAAATCAAAATTGTTAAACTATAGCATGTGCCAGAGCACGTACATTTATAAATGTGCGTATAGAAGGTATTACCAGATAAAAACTATTACCAGAAACAATCTATAATAATTTTTGCTATCAACCGCTAGATGGCATAACGGTAGAGATTACAACAGAGAACGTATAATATATAATATATCAGAGAACGTCTATCATATGATCTCTGTTACAATACCAATAATGCTGTTTTGGAAATTCTATTGCTATATACAAATATCGTATATACAAATCAAAAAACAAAAGTATATTATTTAGGCACCAGTCTCTGCCTATATGGGACATATATTTGATTTGGGTACTGCTTTTGGCTTATATATTTTGTTGATTAGTTATACAATGTCTCCATATAATTCTGGCAATACTTCAATTATCAGAGTTGCATCGTGACTCATCAGAAGGATTGGATCACAAAACATGAATAGAAGAAACATTTGTTTGCCTTTCAGCACTTTTTATTTTGTGGCCCTGTAGGTAACATAAAATTTGTCTATCAAAGGTAGGAAAATATGTATATTGTGGAAGAAACTTGCGTATACTTCAAACAAGACGGAAATCAGAAAAAATTAGAAAAATCGTGACGCGTGTTTTTAAAAATAATAGTAAAATCAATTTGGTTATTCTCTTTGTGCGCTGTCTTTCTTTTCCAGTGGTTTCTATCCCTATATTTTATTATTTCTTCTATACTTGAAATCGGGGCGAAGAGTTGCACGCGTGTTGCTCAGAATTTCTGATTTTATACATACATAAAAATATCTTATTGTAATTAGGAAACAAATTGTTACATCGAAGCTTAGTTACTACTACTTGACTTATATTTGATGGATGAAGTGATTGTATTAGATAGTGACAACGAACAGGAACAATCATCGGACATGGAAGTGGAGACAGTAGAACTGGATGCAGAGCAAATTGTTCCCAAGGACAATGCAACGTGAGTACTTATACAGTCTATACTTTATCGGATTGATGTATATTTGTATTATATTTTTTACAAATATTAATGGTAATAAGGTAGCAAAACTGGAGGATGGGTGGTTGATATGAAAGGGGAAAACTACATCCTATCCACTTCGTTGGAAATATAAATAATATAATTCTACGAGATTCTGTTGCGATAAATACATACATCTATAGAGATGTGTAAATATTAT